CATGTGCTGACTTTCAATCAGATATGACTGAACTGTTTCCGTATCTTAAGCTAGCTCCACAATATGCGACTATTAAGCGTAATATACACCGCAAAACGGCGGCAAGTTTCATAGATGTTATATACAACTTCTTTCTCGATCGATTCAGATCGTATATTTTGTTGCCATGTCCCACCACCGGACGCCCAAGACATTTCCATGTAAGTGCAGATAAAGGCAGTTCGGGAAAAGTGACGCGTCAAGTGATAAATATGCGGTACCTTGACATCAGTCCTGCTTCAGTGAGGATGGTTGTAACAAACCTTTCGGTTGATGTGATTCGAAATCGAGCTACTCAGGATGAGAGGGGGCAAAGCATTTCCCATGAATCAGATGCCGTAGGATGTTTGGAGCATATCGTTCGTTCGTTGAGCGACAAAGTTATGAAAATCCCTCCTCAGAAAACGTTTGTATAATTGCATGCAGATTGATATCAATCTCGTACATGCAGATTCCGGACCCTTTCAAATCGCCTCAAAATTGGCATGTAGACCAAACAGGACAGGCTGATCACGAATCCGAAGTCCGTTCCGAGGCACATATGAAACTTTTCCCGTAATTGACGAATTACGGATCGGCATGCAGATTCCGGACCCTTTCAAATCGCCTCAAAATCGGCATGTAGACCAAACAGGACACGCTGATCACGAATCCGAAGTCCGTTCCGCGGCACATATGAAACTTTTCCCGTAATTGACGAATTACGGATCTGCATGCAGATTCCGGACCCTTTCAAATCGCCTCAAAATCGGCATGTAGACCAAACAGGACACGCTGATCACGAATCTGAAGTCCGTTCCGCGGCACATATAAAACCTTTCCCGTAATTGACAAATTACGGATCTGCATGCAGATTCCGGACCCTTTCAAATCGCCTCAAAATCGGCATGTAGACCAAACAGGACACGCTGATCACGAATCCGAAGTCCGTTCCGCGGCACATATGAAACCTTTCCCGTAATTAACAAATTACGGATCTACATGCAGATTCCGGACCCTTTCAAGACGCCTCAAAATCGGCATGTAGACCAAACAGGACACGCTGATCACGAATCCGAAGTCCGTTCCGCGGCACATATGAAACTTTTCCCGTAATTGACGAATTACGGATCTGCATGCAGATTCCGGACTCTTTCAAATCGCCTCAAAATCGGCATGTAGACCAAACAGGACACGCTGATAACGAATCCGAAGTCCGTTCCGCGGCACACATGAAACTTTTCCCGTAATTGACGAATTACGGATCTGCATGCAGATTCCGGACCCTTTCAAAACGCCTCAAAATCAGCATGTAGACCAAACAGGACACGCTGATCACGAATCCGAAGTCCGTTCCGCGGCACATATGAAACTTTTCCCGTAATTGACGAATTACGGATCTGCATGCAGATTCCGGACCCTTTCAAATCGCCTCAAAATCGGCATGTAGACCAAACAGGACACGCTGATCACGAATCCGAAGTCCGTTCCGCGGCACATATGAAACTTTTCCCGTAATTGACGAATTACGGATCTGCATGCAGATTCCGGACCCTTTCAAATCGCCTCAAAATCGGCATGTAGACCAAACAGGACACGCTGATCACGAATCCGAAGTCCGTTCCGCGGCACATATGAAACTTTTCCCGTAATTGACGAATTACGGATCTGCATGCAGATTCCGGACCCTTTCAAGACGCCTCAAAATCGGCATGTAGACCAAACAGGACACGCTGATCACGAATCCGAAGTCCGTTCCGCGGCACATATGATTTTTTTTCTGACACTGAAAGGTCCGGCTTGGATGAAAAGTAGCATATCCAAAATTTCAGCTTTCTATCCCTACGCGTTCTCCAGCAATCCTGGAAAAACCGTCTGGAAGGGTGGCACCACCCCCCCCCCTCACTGGTATGGCGAGGGTTAACCCGCGCGGCGCTGGGGGGATAAATATCCCCCCCCGCTCACGGGTTTTGCCAATTACTCAAAGACGGCGTATGACATCGTCACGAAACTTTCAGTACCTTTTTTAAAACAATTTTTCACATTGTGTGAAAATTTTAGCGAAATCTGACGGAAAATTTTTCGAAAAAAAATCACGGTTTTTTGACGTCACTACACGCGATTTTCGTCCAAAATCAGCCCGATATTCAAGCAGCTTCTACGCGTTCAGTTTTGAAGCGATTTCAAGCTTGTAAACGTCAAAAGATGCAAAATGTCAACGACTACAAAATGGCTGTCTCGATTTTTCAAAATTTTGAGTTTTTGACCCCCAAAATTTGGAAAAACCAAATTTTTCGGGAGATTACATATTAAATCCAGAATTTTCAAAATTTTCGAGAAAAAAAAACAACCATATGTGTGAGAAGTAGGTGTGGACTATACACATTCCAAATTTCAAGTCAATCGGTCAAAAAATGGCTTTGGGATCGTCCAAAAACTAAGTGAATGTCACTCACAAAAAGTTTGAAATTTGATTTTTGGAAAAACTATACAACTTGGGGGAATACAAATGACACCAAAATGTTCCCCGTAAAATTATGCATCCGATAGACCCTTTTTGGTGAAAATCCAAAATTTTGAAAATTTGATTTTTTGACCTTGCTTTTTTTATTTTATGGAAAAACCACACAACTTAGGAGAGTAAAAATTACACCAAAATGTTTCCCGTAAAATTCTGCATCGGATAGATCCTTTTTGGTGAAAATTAAAATTATGAAAATTTGACCTCGTTTGACCTTGACTTTCACCTTATCTGAATTCTTAGTTTCACTTCAATTGTAGTGGAGTGGACTTTCTGGGGCAATATCTGTTGAAACTGCTTACTTGGAAGCTTTTGGATAGAAAACATGGACCGCCGAAGCAAAAATCATGATTTGACCTTAAATGTGACCTTGCCCTTACATTTGACCTTTTAAAGCAAATGTTAAGCACGCATCAGCACCTTCTCATTGTGAGCTTTCGATTGCCGCCTTCCGTTTGCTTCTACGGCCATAAGTTTTTGAGTTAGCAGGGGGGGGGGGTAAATATTACCCCCTCCCCCAGCGCCGCGCGTTCGGCTGGAGACCCAGCGCCGCGCGGGTTAATAAAGGGGAACGGCCACAAGTGATGGCGAGATTATATTGAAACCAAACACGGTTAACCCCGGCGAAACCCAGCCTCAGACTGCCATCGCGGCGGTGCGACAATTCGACCATAGTATGCCTGAACCGAACAGCACATACCGTACAGGAACCGCGTATGGAAGGCATTTTCAGCAAGTGAAGGAGCATGCACCTCTGGAACATGGAGCCGGAGAGGAGGTGAAGAATGCATACTTCAATCCGGGTGTGGTGGAGTACATGCTGTCCACCCTCATGCCACTGGCACCATTGTGGAGTCAGCTGCTGATCACGACGGCGGTGACTACAAATGCAGCTGTTGAAAGCTACATGCGCGTGCTGAAGAAGCAGATCCTACGTGGCCGTACCCGACTGCACCCCGGTGACCTGGCGAGAATGATCATGAAGGACACGGCAAGCCGCATGAAAACTGACAGCATCCCTCCCAAACCTGCTCCAAGAGGAAAGAAGAGGAAGCAGGGAGAGAAGGAGCAGCCACTTCAAGCCTCAGAGACACAAGAAGAGACGTGGAAGAAACGAGACTGCTCAAAAAGACCTACCTGGTATGCCCGTGAACGTCCACCGACGGACGTGTTTATGGACAGCGAAAACGAGGACCATGACCTCATCAACATCGTGGTGGATAGCGGAGCCACAACGTCTACAGCCCACGAGGCCGATGATGCGGCTCCAACTGAACAGAAACCAAGTCTCACAGCATCACAGACCGCTGATGAAAGCACACATGTCATGTCAACTGAGGATGAAATGAGGCGCTGCCTCAAGCCAAGAACATGGCTGACAGATGACGTCATCGACTGCTTCTGCTTGTCTGCGGCCTCTCGGTCATGTGGTGGCGCGGCCAGTTTCACTGCCCACTGGCTGACAGCTATGGGCGCGGGCCGAGCGACAAAAACCATCCGACTATGCCTGCAGGACGCGAACGCCCACAAGGCGAAAGTGTGGCTGATGCCATATCATCGACATGGAAATCACTGGGCACTATTCGTGGTGTCCTTCCAACACCAAGTGATTGTCCATCTTGACGGCATGCACGGCAACGCCGATGCTGCAACGGTCCAGCACGTGCAGAGGCTGGTGGAGACTGCAATCAAGCTCCACTCGGGTCCACGTAAGCCCGAACGCTGCGGCTGGTGGAGCAGGTGGCGACTCGTCAACCCCGCCTGCATACCTCCTCAGCAAGACACATACTCATGCGGAACACGTGTGTGTTTCTATGCAGAAATCGCAGCGACCGGTGCAGTCACCATGCCCTTCAACGACCAAGACATGAGGGTCGTGATTGGCGATGCAATCAACGGCTCACAGGTAATAATAGTTCAGCTTCACATAACCTCACATCAATGAGAAATGATTTGAACTTACTCCACAAGACTAAATGATGTCGGAGCTTGCGAATTGTATTTTACATTTCTTCGTCAGGGAGTCGTACCGGATAAAAAAAATCGAGTCGAATGTACAGAGCTGCTCAAATAAAATATGGGTTGTTTGGTCGGTAAGACGACCAACCGATCCATATTTTATTCGATCCGCTCTGTACATTCGATTCGATTTTTCATCCACGAACTGTATGAGCTGTTATACAAATAGTATAAGTTAACTTTTCATATATTCTATGGTGGCAATGTGCTAAAACTGCAAGTAGCACTCGGGAGATCATGCTGCATTGCTTACTGATTTGTCTGACAGTTGAAATTGAATATTGTTATATATTCTATGGTGGCAATGTGCTAAAACTGCAAGTAGCACTCGGGAGATCATGCTGCATTGCTTACTGATTTGTCTGACAGTTGAAATTGAATATTGTTATCGCATGTTATGACTTCATTAACATGTATGTATTCTTCTCTTATCCTCAGAACTGGCTTCAGCGACCCGTGGCTCTTGGCTTCGAACAGGAAAAAGTGAGGAGGAGCCGATTCGCGCCTCTGACAGTGGAGACAGACGTCGGCCTGGATATAAACACATACCTGTCGACACTATGCCCCCGAGGTGAGGCACGATAGGGATCATTGAAAACATATGGGTGTTTAGTGGATATTTAGCGATTGTTTGCCTGTAGCTTTTACTAACTGAACCATTGCTATCTTATTGACAACGCTTATGCGTATTCATCGTGCTTCGAGAATGGAGGGAATGGAGAGAATGAATAAGCGGTACGGCTGAGATGTTGTCGACGAGCGAAGTGTTAGACTGACCCGCAGAGCACAGGTGTCAGGCGGCACAGCCTACCACCGCATCTGCATAAAATTTGTAACGACATTGTAGCTGGAAGTGTTTGGTGAATATGGAATCGGCGCGTATGTTACCCTGTGTAAATTTGCGCATCATAAAAAAATCGCCCAAATTTAGACACAAGACAGCCAGATAAATTTCCAACATGTACCCAAAGTTTGGTGCGGCTGCGCCGCACCAAACCGGAGTTATAGCGCGCCAAAAAAAGTGGGGGCGTCTAACGCCCCCCCCCCCCCCCAGCAAATGGCGGGTTAACATAGGCACGTCAAAAAAGTAAAACACTTTTTATGGCAACCATAATAAAATTAAACTTCAAAAATTGATGACGTATTCAAAATAACAAAACATATTTTTGAATTTTCGAGATAGGCAATTTTTACTCTACTCAGTTGTGTTTAACATCATAATAACGTTTAAAATAATTACTTAAACCCTATGAAGGTAGGGGACTTAGACCTAATGGGTTTCTTGTTAAATTTATACATTTTTGAAACTATATTTCGGAATCCATGAAGTTAACAGGTCCAATATTGTCACCATCGTTTTCAGGGCCCAAAAGAACCGCACGTGCAAAATTTCGTCGAAATCGGAGGGGTTCGTGTGTAAAATTTATGATTTTTTTGTCGATCTATCGCGCGCGGAATGCACCACCAGTTACCTCCCCCAGATCATTCGAACCATACCAGCACTTGAATGTTTACATGCTGATCCATTTGCAGGATAAGCGACTCGCCTGCCTGGTGTTTTCTGAGCCGGCGCTGCAGCAGCAAGACACTCTGCCGCCTGGCGGCGCAACTGCCAACAAGACACTCTGGCCTGGCGGCGCAACTGCCACCCTGCAGTGCAACCGAACACTGGGTGTTGCTGTGCTGCGGTGTAGTCTGGTGCACCGGTAGCTAGACTGTGTCGTAGTGCGAGCGATGGGAGTTCAGACTGTTTCGTAGTGCGAGCGATGGGAGTTACACTGTGCCGCAGTGTGTCGCGGGCGGCCCGGACGATCCGGCCTGTTGAGGATTATGTCGCGAGACCGGGACCTGCACCGACCAATACACGCGTGGACTGAGCCTGCCGAGGACCTGTGCTGCAGTGGTAGCCGCTACCCCATGCTGGTGTTGTAGGACGCCTTACACAATGCGAGTGCAGCCGAACACGGGTGTGGAGAGCTTAGAGTGGATTTTAACCCTCGCACTGCCGGGGTGGGGGGCACATATGAGCCCCCCTGAGATTTTTCCGCGATAGCTGGAAAACGGCGGCGCACAGCGCCGCCAAATTTTGCATACCTGTTCCCCCAACATTTCCGCACATTGTGTGAAAATTTTGATCCAGGTCACCTAAGGTCAGGTCACCTTACCTGACCAGAGGTGACCAGAGGTGAGCTTACCTGATCAGAGTCCGCACTAAGCAAAGCTTGTTGTGCCTGACCCTGAACCCACCGTAAAACCTGAACCTGAAATTCCGGGAAAAGTTTCATATGTGCCGCGGAACGGACTTCGGAGTCGTGATCAGCGTGCCCTGTTTGGTCTACATGCCGATTTTGAGGCGTTTTGAAAGGGTCCGGAATCTGCATGCAGATCCGTAATTCGTCAATTACGGGAAAACTTTCATATGTGCCGCGGAACGGATTTCAGATTCGTGATCAGCGTGTCCTGTTTGGTCTACATGCCGATTTTGAGGCGATTTGAAAGGGTCCGGAATCTGCATGCAGATCCGTAATTTGTCAATTACGGGAAAAGTTTCATATGTGCCGCGGAACGGACTTCAGATTCGTGATCAGCGTGTCCTGTTTGGTCTACATGCCGATTTTGAGGCGATTTGAATGGGTCCGGAATCTGCATGCAGATCCGTAATTCGTCAATTACGGGAAAAGTTTCATATGTGCCGCGGAACGGACTTCGGATTCGTGATCAGCGTGTCCTGTTTGGTCTACATGCCGATTTTGAGGCGATTTGAAAGGGTCCGGAATCTGCATGCCGATCCGTAATTCGTCAATTACGGGAAAAGTTTCATATGTGCCGCGGAACGGACTTCAGATTCGTGATCAGCGTGTCCTGTTTGGTCTACATGCTGATTTTGAGGCGATTTGAAAGGGTCCGGAATCTGCATGCCGATCCGTAATTCGTCAATTACGGGAAAAGTTTCATATGTGCCGCGGAACGGACTTCGGATTCGTGATCAGCGTGTCCTGTTTGGTCTACATGCCGATTTTGAGGCGATTTGAAAGGGTCCGGAATCTGCATGCAGATCCGTAATTCGTCAATTACGGGAAAAGTTTCATATGTGCCGCGGAACGGACTTCAGATTCGTGATCAGCGTGTCCTGTTTGGTCTACATGCTGATTTTGAGGCGATTTGAAAGGGTCCGGAATCTGCATGCAGATCCGTAATTCGTCAATTACGGGAAAAGTTTCATATGTGCCGCGGAACGGACTTCGGATTCGTGATCAGCGTGTCCTGTTTGGTCTACATGCTGATTTTGAGGCGTTTTGAAAGGGTCCGGAATCTGCATGCAGATCAGTAATTTGTCAATTACGGGAAAAGTTTCATATGTGCCGCGGAACGGACTTCAGATTCGTGATCAGCGTGTCCTGTTTGGTCTACATGCTGATTTTGAGGCGATTTGAAAGGGTCCGGAATCTGCATGCAGATCCGTAATTCGTCAGTTACGGGAAAAGTTTCATATGTGCCGCGGAACGGACTTCGGATTCGTGATCAGCGTGTCCTGTTTGGTCTACATGCCGATTTTGAGGCGATTTGAAAGGGTCCGGAATCTGCATGCAGATCCGTAATTCGTCAATTACGGGAAAAGTTTCATATGTGCCGCGGAACGGACTTCAGATTCGTGATCAGCGTGTCCTGTTTGGTCTACATGCCGATTTTGAGGCGATTTGAAAGGGTCCGGAATCTGCATGCAGATCCGTAATTCAATTACGGGAAAAGTTTCATATGTGCCGCGGAACGGACTTCGGATTCGTGATCAGCGTGTCCTGTTTGGTCTACATGCCGATTTTGAGGCGATTTGAAAGGGTCCGGAAGCTGCATGCCGATCCGTAATTCGTCAATTACGGGAAAAGTTTCATATGTGCCTCGGAACGGACTTCGGATTCGTGATCAGCCTGTCCAGTTTGGTCTACACGCCAATTTTGAGGCGATTTGAAAGGGTCCGGAATCTGCATGTACGAGATTGATATCAATCTGCATGCAATTATACAAACGTCCTCAGAAATTGCGTACTACGTGTATGTCTCTGAGTATTGACAAGGAGGCTGTTCATGCAGGGCCCGATTCCGGCGTGGCAGTGAGGTGGAAGGATCGCTTTGACAATCATGCTTTCGTTCACCTTATAGACCGGGCCCATAAAGTGGAGAAACTGTTCCAGGATGCTCTCAAAAAGAAAGTATGAAATGGGCGCGCGAGTTTCTTGACAGCCTTCACAGTTCACACTATAGTAGATGCGGATCAATCTACTAAAGCTTTGAGGGTCGCTAGGAACATTGACGAATCATTTCTTACCCTGAAACGACAAATTAAAACTCGCTTTATAGAGTTCTCGGTGGAATCAATAGTCAGTCATCAATCAGTTCGGAGCACTAGTTATGACTATTGAAAACATTTTGGCAATGAAGCCTGAAGTGGATGTTGTCCGTCGTAACCAATTGAGTGTTTTGGCTGACCTGAACTACATTCCAACCGGTCTTGTCTTGATGCATACGTTTGGGCTTGGCGTTCGCATAAGCAAAGCAAGTCAAGCAGACACATACAACATTTGGGACGATGCAAGTGCGATAAGCAAATTCAAAATGGAACTATTGCAACTGAAAAACGATCCGCACTCGAACCCTCTTTTGCAGAAGCATGAAAACGACTTTACGGATGGTAAGGTTTGTGGATTTTCCTTCCTTGAGCTGGCAGACACTGTCAATAGCTATAGCCGTGGTACCAGAAGTGCCTCCAAACAAATCTTTTGATGCTTTGGGGAATGTGTGGCAAACCTCTTACAATATACCTGACGTGGTGGAATTGGTGGAAATAGCAATACTCATGTGTAGAAGTCAGTCAGATACCGAAAGAACTGGCAAAATTGTGAGAGATTTCTGATAAGAGATTTGGAGGAAAATTTAACGAATTGAAGCCTGAAGACAAAGACAGATGCGCTAAAGAGGTGTTCATTCGGTCGTTTAACCCGCGCCCCGCGGGGGGGCAGAATCTGCCCCCTCCCATTTTTCGCCAATAACTTCTAAACATAGTTACGCCAGCGACGTCAAACTTTCAGTACCTTATCATACATCAATTTGACACGTTTCCTGAAAATTTGAGCGAAATCCGTCGAATTTTTTGTTGAGAAATTGACGTTTTAGTGACGCCATGTTTGCCATTTTCGCCTCAAAAACGGCAAAATTTCAAACGCCGCTACCATCTTCATTTTTAAAGGAATCAAGACGTAACAAAAAAGGTTATACGTGATTCTACTTTGTCTATCAAATAGCTATCTCGGTTTTTTTTTAAATCATGGATTTTGGCCTATTTTTTTAAAACTGACTTTTTTTGGGAAAATAATTATAAAATCCAAAATTTTGAGTGTATCGAAAAAACCGGAAAATATGTCAGAAGTGGTGTATGTGCACCTACATACCAATTTTTAGAAGCATCGGTTAAAGAATGTGGGAGTTATTCAAAATTTTATGACGTCACGACACACATAAATTTTGAAAAATGATTTTTTTGGAAGTTCTAGACCTCGTACGGAAACAAAAATAGCACCATTCGATTCGCCGTGAAAAACTGCATCAGATAGACACCTTTTTAGGCAGGGTTTCGGAGTCGTGGTAGCGCTGTTCCGACTCCGACTCCGACTCCGACTCCGGGCTCCTGACCGACTCCGACTCCGACTCCGACTCCGACTCCGGGTCTGATACGAATGGCAATGGCGGCCGCCAAAATTTTGCGTGATATGACGCCACGTGCTAGGTCTACGTGCACTGGGAGAACGCTCCTACTCTCCGGTTTCCTTCACTTGCAGTCACCATTTCTCCCACGTGGACGCAGCTGAATCCACAAGAGGTCAGCGGTCAGCGAGGAAACCCGCCGAGAAGCGCGAGAGGCGGCCGTATCACGAACACGAGCATTGCCATCATGTCGGTCATTCCTATGTGTTGATACTTTTCGGAACTTAAACGAAGAAAATAGAAATACAGTTGTCATTTAGTCTTTGACTCGTCAACGGTCAAATACTTCAGATAGTGGAAGTTATAACAGGCATGCAAAATACGACTTCTAAATTATGATATAACTTGAAACTTGTTAGATCCAATTTTTGTCATTTAGAACAAAAACAAGATGAGTGCAATTTTCATCGCCGGAAGCGAATTCTACCGCGGGCAACTGGTAAAAAAAGCTGAAAAGTGATATCACAGATTCTAGTTATTTTCCGCAGTCGGAGTCGAGGCAGCTTGACCGACTCCGACTCCGACTCCGACTCCTGGCTGCTTGCCACGACTCCGGGCGACTCCGACTCCGACTCCGACTCCGACTCCAAAACCTTGTTTTTAGGCCTGAACAAAAAAATTCAAAATTTGACCTCACTTAACCTCACCTTGACCTGACCTCGACCTGAAATTCATCCAGAGGTGGTCCATATCAATTATTGAGTGTGCTTATTGAATTCTATGAGTAAAATGACCCATAAAACATTTGTCGCACGTGCCCTTTTCTGCATTTTGTTTTTGGTGACCTGACCTGACCTGACCTTGACCTTGACCTCTGAATGATATTGTATGCAACGAATATTGTCTTGGTAGCCTAAGAACACGTTTTGGGCAATCAGTCTCAGTCCATGACTCCATTCTTCGGCAACTACGGTGCAAGGCCGATACTGTAGAAACTTGCATTTTGTACCCTTGACCTGACCTTGACCTGACCTCTGACCTACTTAACCTTCCAGGCGGTGGGGGGGGGGCATTTTTTGCCCCCTTTAGTTTTTCAATATATCTCGAGAACCGCTGTGCCGATCGTCACCAAACTTTCAGTACCCTCCCGGGAGCAGCTAGCGCACATGGTGACAAAAAAAA